CCTGGAATCTCCTGTGGCTGGCTGGGGAATTGTAGGAGTTGAAGTCCACACATCTACAAGTTGCCAAGGTTAAAAAACACTGCTACATAAGGTGATTTGGATTTAGCTAGGAGGAAGGCAATGGAAGCTGTATGGCTTTTTCCATATAGTCACCAGGAGTCAAGACTAACTTGATGGCGCATGTGCACACACATGTTGTGGCTCACCAGCGGCCAGCAGAGCTGGCAGCAGATTCGGACAGAGAGGTGGTTGGGGAGGAACATGGGCCAATCCTGTAGCCTGGGGAAGGCTCTGATGCGGGCTCTGTATTGGAGTCAGAGAGGGGGGCAAACTCATATGCCAGCTATTAGCTGCCTTCCGAGTCAGACATCAGTGAGGCAGACGAACAGCTGGAGCCTGTTCCCAGTGTACGCATGTACAGAGTTGACAGACAAACAGAACAACTACAGAGCAGGGGTCGACTTGAGAGTAAGGCCAGACGATGAATGGACCCTCCCAGAGGAAATAAAAGAGGAAGAAAGGGGGTGGAGTTTGCAGGACACAGTTAGTTCGCTTAATGGGTTAGTGGCTCTCTGAGACTCCTTGCCAAGTTTTGCAGATATCGCCTGTCAGCTCTTCAAGCCAGATAAGGTCTGTGACCATAAATCCTTCTTTGAAAGACTTTGCCGGCTGTGAATGAACACAATTCACTATAAATTATTAAAAGGGTTTTTTGCCGGGACAAGGACTTTGTTTCATGCTCTTGGGAAGCCTCAGTCAGAACACACACACACAAACACAAAAAATCCCAATGAGAAATAGATGGATAGAATATCCATCTCCTCTCTGAATTTCAAATCCGAATTAATCTTGCCTATTCTGCTACCTTCCCCGTAAACTATGACTGCAGCTCCCTGGAAAAGCCTGATTAGCATGTTCGGCAGGCCGTGCAAATGAAAAGTTGCATTCTCTACAAATAGCTTGGGAGGCAGGTGAAATCATAGCTTCCTGACTTAGTGTATCTGTCCGTGGGTCTCAGTGTTATGTATGCAAGTTGCATCTTGATTTCCAAATGCACACCTACCCAAAAGTTGCCCAACAGGCTCCATAAATTAGGTCACTCTGCACTGGAGAGGAACGTCTTTTGATGTTGCTGGGTGACTAGACCTCTTTCCCATTAACAGGAAATGAAAGCTTGCATGAATCTACCAACCCTTGAAGCTTGGTAATGGAAGTGAGCAACCACAGCAAGTTACATGTCGGTTCAAAGGAGCCAGATAATTTCCTACCATCAAAAAGGATTTAGCAAGATGTAATCTGGTTGAAACTAAAAAGCAACTTCTGATTTATGAGAAAAGCTTTGTGGTACATTGTTTTGCCATGTGCACAGGAAATAAACACGGGGGAAATCTGTAAGACTGTAACTCGGTACTGATTTCGTTAAGAGTAACTTGTGTGAGCTCATTTGAGCTTATTTTCCGGATAGGTAAGTACAGTGTGACTTATCCATACTTTTTAATAGTACAGACGGTGCTCAGTGATTGCTTATCTCAAATAAAAGAAGTTCCTGTTTGCTAAGAATATGGATCATTGATCCAGATAGCATTGATTCGATTCTGCCTCTTGGTCATTGTTTAAATTAATAACTCTTTAAAAAAAACAAAGTGGCCTACTAAAAGAATAACAGGTTTCACTTAAATGTGTCAAACATTTGACAGCGTAACTCTCATAATGAAATCAGGGGGCGTGTCCTTTTAAAGTTGCCAAGACTATTCAAGTAGTAAATATTTTGATGAGCCCCACTGACAATACAGCCCGACCTAATTACATTAAACCTTGCAAGGTTAAATGCCTCTTTGCTAGACTACATGAGCATTATTTGGCTGCAGGTCTCGTTCATTAATTTGGTGAGAGAAAGCAAGTCAAAATCTTCTCTACTGAAATTATAATTATTCTGAATCACGTTACATCCAGGTAATCCTTGACTTACAACTTACAAGTTGCCTGTTCAACTTGTGGCTGTTCTAAATCTGGGATGGTGAACCTATGGCACGCATGCCACAGGTGGCACATGGAGCCAGCTCTGAGGGCACAGGAACCGGCCAGCTGATTTTCGGCCTTCAAAGGGCCTCCAAAGAGCTGGGGGAGGTCATTTTCGCCCTCCCCAGGCTTCAGGAAAGCCTCCTACCGTTCCTACTGGAAGTTTGTAAATGGGCCATTTCCGGCTTCTGGAGAGCCTTTTGGGGGCCAGGGGAGGCCATTTCTGCCCTCCTCAGGCTTCAGGAAAGCCTCCAAAGCCTGGGGAGGGTGAAAACTGGGCCTACTGGACCTAATGGAAGTTCAGAAATGGGCCATTGCCGGCTTCTAGAGGGCCTCTGAGGGGCTGGGGGAGGCCATTTTCGCCCTCCCCTGGCTTCAGGAAAGCCTCTAAAGCCTGGGGAGGGCAGAAAACGAGCCATTTCCAGCCTCCAGAGGCTTCAGTGAGGCCTGCTAGGCCTAAAATGGGGTGGGGGTCATGCGCACATGCGCAGTGGGCCGCGGAGGGGGATTGAATTATGAGTGTGGGCACACATGCTGTCGCACACACGCGCACGCTTTCGGCACCTGAGCCAAAAAAGGTTAGTCATCACTGTTCTAAATTCTGATCGACTTACCAGATTTGGGGTGGGTTCAGATCTGAGGTTCCAACAGTCACACACCCCCCCCCCAAACACATGGTCATGCCACCTGCCCTTCAGGAACTCAGCAACTGGGTTGCATTTGTTGCCATTTGCAGTGCCCCATGGTCACACCACAATGTTTTACAATGATTTCCTTCAAGGTTTTGGCAAAACTGGGCCCATAGTGAAATACCCGTTTGGCATTCATTTAACAACCGCGGCAATTGCAGTGCTCACTTAATGACTGCCTCAAAAGAGGTTTTTAAAATTGGGGCAGTCACATGCTTTACAATCAGCGTGAATAACAATCATGATGGGCAGGCACCATTACGGTCGTAGTTTACCTGTCCTTTCTTTTCAGTGATGAAAACAGCACGAGTCTCCATGAGCCAATTGTATTAACCAATAGGCTAGTACTGGTGGCACAGTGGTTAGAGTGCAGTACTGCAGACTATTTCTATTGGCTGTGGCTGCCTGCAATTTGGCAGTTCAAATCTTACCAGCCTCACAGTTGACTCAGCCTTCCATTCTTCCGAGATGGGCAAAATGAGGATCCAAATTGTTGGGAGCAATATGCTGAATCTGTAAACCGCTTCAAGAGGGATGTAAAGCACTGTGAAGCGGTATATAAGTCTAAGTGGTATTGCTATTTGCTACTGGAGCTTCAGAATAGACATCAGTCCAGTATTAAGGAAAGTAACACTTTCAGATATATTTTAAGTAGCTGTATTATGTGTAATTTTTGAAACTTCACTTTTTAATTAACAGTATTATTGCAATAGTTTTCACATTAAAACTGTCCCAAATATTTAGATCTTTATAGCAATAAATAACAAATTGCCCTCTTCTCTTTTCTTGATTTATCCCTGGTCCTATCAAGACTATGTTGGGATACAGGGAGTTTTTAAAGGCTGTCATTTGCCACAAATATTGTCACAATAACTCTTGCTAGTTAGCTTTCCATGTAGTCTTTAGCTAGGCATCCTATTTTCAGAATGCAGGTGTGGGTACTCTATCTATTCACGACCGATGTTTGCAGGAATGTACACAAACGCAAATCCATGCCAGAAAAAAAAAATCACCTTTATTAAAATTATTCACTTATTAATACTTTTTGAGGCAAGGTGATTGGAAAAAAATGTGGTTAGACTGCAGTATCAGAGGGCTCCAGAGGAAACGGATTATCTGGATCCCTTCCATTTGGGATCTACTGTAGGCACAGGGTTATAGGAAGACAGCAAAAACTGCTGATAAGAAAAATAAATAGTATCCTATGACTATCACTAAGTGTTGTATCTTATGATTCATGATGAACATATTTATGGTGAATATGATCATGATTTATCACATATCTTTTATGTACAATGGGATCTTATAGGGAGACAAATTCCTTGTATGTCCAATCAATCTTGGCCAATAAAGAATTCTATCCTATCCTATCCTATCCTATCCTATCCTATCCTATCCTATCCTATCCTATCCTTTATATTGTTCTTGTTCTTCCTGTCTGTTCTGTTCTTGTACATTTAAAGTGATAATAAAATCTATCCTATCCTATCCTTTATATTCTGTTCTTGTTGTTCCTGTCTTTTTTGTTCCTGTCTGTTCTGTTCTTGCACATTTAAAGTGATAATAAAATCTATCCTATCCTATCCTTTATATTCTGTTCTTGTTCTTGCTGTTCCTGTCTGTTCTATTCTTGTACATTTAAAGTGATAATAATATCTATCCTATCCTATCCTATCCTTTATGTTCTGTTCTTGTTGTTCCTGTTTGTTCTGTTCTTGTACATTTAAAGTGATAATAAAATATATTCTATTCTAATTTTCTATTATTTCTATTCTATTCCCCTTTCCACCTAGAGGAAGTAGCTGATGAGCTGTTTTTGCAGGAGGAATACAAAATAGCCAAAACAGAGGGGGCTCCTGTAGGGCGGAAGGCATTGCATTGGCAGCTGGAGACAAAATTGCGCAGAATGGAGACAAAACCCGCGCAAAAAGAGACGCTCGACACTTTGCAGCGTCGGTCTCCGAGGCCAGCCGCGTTCCCCGGCCGGCCGTCTGCGTCTCGCCGCCAGGCGGCTGCTGTGGCAACCGAAGCGCCTCCAACGACCGGCCGAAGTCGCCTCTGCCGGAGATCGAAGGGTAACGCTGGGATCCGGCCCGGTTCCACCTTAATCAGGCAGGCTTCGGGATCGGAAGCAGGGAGCGGGACGGTCGAGGGGGAACAGGGTTGCATCCAGGGAGGATTAAAACAGTATTTCTGAACTTCAAGTGGACTTCAACTTCCAGAATTCCTCGACCAGCCATGCTGGGTTGGGGGATTCTGGGAGTTGAAGTCTACACATCTTAAAGTTGCCAAGTTTGGGAAACCCTGGGTTAAAATGTCCATCAACTCACCTGCCAAACTCACAATAGCTTTCAAATTTGGTTCGTGGGTTTGTTTGTTTTCCTGGTGTGCATTATGCAACTCCATGACACTAAAGATGAAACAGACCTCTCAGTGTTTCAGGGTGGCGCCAGCAACCAAGAAGATCCAATTGGAATATTAGATTAGAAACTATTAGATTTCTGGTTTTCAGAAAATAAACCGTACTCTGATAAAATGTAATACTGGAAGTTCTGAAATTAATCTGCGTCCAGCTTCCTGTGGAAAACAGCAGACTTAGCAGCTTATTCTGGGCCTTGAATAATTTTGAATTGAGGTTGGCACCAAGGTAGGTAGTACTTAATACCGTAGCAATGACTTAATAACAAAGGAATTAATGTATACATGTAATCTGATTTTAACCAATGGAAGGTTGAAAACCATCTTCAAAGACAGTGTACACTTGTTAATTCCAAAAATAATCTAATCTAGATATGTCTAGGACTCAATTTTATCTTTCTACATTGTCTTTTAAATGATTAAACACTTCCATCTGGATGGGCTTCCATTCCATCTAATATGCTCTGAAATTTTTTATTTGTCTCTGGATTACTTCGCACACACTTCTTAAACCATAGCACACCTGGGAGATATTGCGTGTCTGGGTCCAGACTACCGCAATAAAGCAGATATCACAATAAAGCAAATCACATGAATGTTTTGGTTTCCTGAGCACATAAAAGTTACGTTTACACTATACTGAATTCTCTTAAATGTACAATAGAATTAGTTCTAAAAAAAAATATGCTGATAAAAAACCCCAATATGCGTACCTCAATTTAAAAATACTTTATTCCTAGAAAGTTCTAAAGTCTGAATACTTTATAGCTAAAAATCATTATCTGAGCCTTCACAAGTTGTAATCTTTTTAAAAGCTCAATAAAGCAAAGCACAAAAAACAAGGTATTGGTTAAGTACCAATTTATTGCCAATGTCATTTCAAAATAAGACCTACAGACTATAAAAATGTGATAAAAAGAACTTTTATAGTCCAATTGCTGAAATCTGTTAGTAACAGAGTAGGTTACTCCTGGTTTGGCCCGGATTGGGCGAACCAATAGTGGCAGTGGCAGGAGGCTCCGCCCACCCACCCAGACGCTTCTGCGCATATGCAGAAACTTCTGCGCATGCACAGAAGTGTCGCGTGCGAGCATGCGCGCAAGCACAAGCAAACTGCTACCGCCAGGATTTGTAACCCATCTCTGGTTAGTAACTACAAGCAAACTACAGATCAAGTTTCTTAATCTCTTTTCCCTCTAGGGATACCCTTCTCATTTTAAAAAGTTATGGAGAAACCTCAAAGAGCTTTTGCTTGTATGGGTTATATTTATTGATATTTATTGTATTAAAAATTAATTTGATGCATTTGCTGCTGCTACCACATCTCACAATTGTTTTAATGCATTTTTTTCAACATAGACTGGCAAATAATTTTGATTTCACAGGCCTCTGTGAGACTACCGTGTTTCCCCAAAAACAAGACAGGGTCTTATTTTCTTTTGACCCCCGAAATAAGCACTTGGCCTTATTTTCAGGGAGGTCTTATTATTTTTGAGGTACCTCTCATAGGAAGGACCACACTTTAATAAATACTGCCACAGGCTAAACAGTTTGCTGAATCCTTGGTGCTATCTGAACTTGCTGCTTTTTTTTGGTAGATATTTCAGTAGAGCACTGATGATGTTACCTAGTTTGGTAATGAAACGCCTGAAGGAAAACAATCAAATTTAGAGAGCATCAAGGACCTCTGTTCAACTCTGAGCTACAAATATTAAAGAATTTTTATTATGTATCCTTTTATTTTTTCCTTTTTATTCCTTTTAGATATGCTAATGATCCGCAATGTTCATATACTTAAATGAGTGCTATTCAGCAATAAAAGCAACTTTATCCCCCTTCATGCTATAAAATATTAAACCATGGAAATTATCAGCAATTTTTTCCCCTAAGTCATGAATTGCATAGTAATCCACGGTTTTAATTTTTTTCCCCAGAGCCCAACATAGTAGTACAATGCAGGACGATTCCAAGAAAAAATATGGGTAAGACTGTAATTATCCCATAGCAGGAGTATGTATTTACATCTTTTAGCAGGGTGGGCAATCATTTGATGTTTACTATGGAGAAATGCATGGTATAATTTTGAGGGATGCACTGTTTACATTGCTGGCGTCATTTGACACCAGTGAATAAAGCCAACAGTGTGTGGATTAAGGGAAGTTTTCTTTCTTGTTAATTGTAATGGGGCTATTTTAAAACTATAATCTTTGCACTTTTCCTGCTTCAGTGTCATGGGAAATTATACCGTTTTCACCAGTTGCAGTTACTGAACACCCAGAAGGCTGCAAAATAAAGAGATCTCACTTTCAGACATAGACTCCAAGTTGCCAAACGCAAAGCTTTCTCTAGGTCTCTCAACCTCAGCTATTTTACGATAGATGAGACCTTCACCAGCAAGCATGGGGAATCCTGAGAGTTGAAGTCCACACATCTTAAAATTGCTGAAGTTGAGAAGCACTGCTCTAGTGGCTGAGGAGGTTTAGGACAGTAAGTTGAAAAGGGGTGAGTCTCAACTCTTCTCTTCTAGGAGTCCTTTAGGTTTTATGAGCTGCAGTGGTGCAGTGGTTAGAGTGCAGTACTGCAGGCTACTTCTGCTGACTGTTGGCTGCCTGCAATTTGGCAGTTCAAATCTCACCAGGCTCAAGGTTGACTCAGCCTTCCATCCTTCCATGATGGGTAAAATGAGGACCCAAATTATTGGGGGCAATGTGCTGACTCTGTAAACCGCTTAGAGAGGGCTGTAAAGCAGTATATAAGTCTAAGTGCTATTGCTATGTATACAGGTCCTACTTCCTACATGGTCACCTGATTGGTAGTGCTTAGTGCTTGGTGTAAAACTTCAAGTTGTCTCCTTAGACCTGTATTCAGTGTCCTCAATACTGAAGATTGATGCTGAAGCTGCTGGTTGTGATTTTATCATCATTTATCCAGATTTGGTTTTGGTCTATTTATATTTGCATTTTTAAAAGTCATTTGGACTTTTATATAAATTATATAATATTGAAAGTCTTCTTCATGGCTATGTAATGTTGGAAAGGGGAATTTTAAAATAAGAAAATAATCCAATATTATTATGTAAATAATTATTTCATAATATAGCATAAATGGTATCATGGAAATTTTGTTTTAAGAACGCCTGGAAAACGTATTATAAATCCAAAGAATCTGATAGAATTACTCGATGATAAGAAAGAAGATAATAGGAATAAAGCAGCATTTATAATTCAAAAAACTTGGAAAAAATGGCTGGTAAGTTGACAATACTTCAAACACACTGTCATCCCTCATTCTAGAGCAGAGGTATCAAACTTGATTTTATTGAGGGCCGCATCAGGGTTGTGTTTGACCTCGGGGAGCTGGGGTGGGTATGGCCGGGGTGGGCATAGCCAGCTCAACATCACTCATGTGGGGGTGCCTGTGGTGGCCTGAGCACTCTGCCAATATGCTGAGCTCTCCCGAACTCCATTTTCACTGGCAGAGGATTATAGAAGGCCATAGCAGCCAAAAATAGAGCTTGGGAACCCGTTTTCGCTGGCAGAAACACCGTGGGCCATCTTTCGCTGTTTCCAGGATGGCCCCATGGGCCAGATCTAAGTACACCACCACTCCCCGGGCTGGATCCGGCCCCTGGGCCTTGAATCCGATACCCTTGTTCTAGAGTAATACACTTTTTGAGTAATATGCTTTTTCAAGTGTATTTATGTAAACATCTACATGTTTTGGATGGATTGGAAATTGTGGGTCCCACGATTGTTGCATTCTTAAGGGACAAGATGTCATATTGCATCTACACACTTGTTCCCTTTTGTGGCTGAAGACTTGAAGCTGCAGAAGATGGGGGCACCTTATATCTATAAAAAATCTCTATCCTTCCCATCGCTCCAGGGATTCACACATCATAATCAACAATGAAGTGAGTTGTAGTTCTTTGCTGACCATGATATGTGAACTGCGCAGTTTTGGTATATAAGCTGTGGTTGATGGTTTAAGAATATATGTGAAGCCAGCCAATTATGGTTTATTCAATAAATCATCATTAATCAAGCTATGGCAACTGTTTGCTCTTTTTCCTAATATGGCAACCAACAGTGAATTTAAAAAAAATTAAAAAGAGCGCTATTTAATATGGAGAATGTGGAGCTATGATGAGTTGAATTATAGCCAGAAGAGGTCATTTATGACAGGGGTTCCCAACCCCGGCTTCGCAGCCTGTTCGGAACCTGGTCACCCAAGGGGCAAGCGAGCAGGTGAAACTCAATTTGTGCATGGCGTGGGATTAGGTTGCACATGTGAAACCACTCCCTCTGCTGCCAGTCTGCGGAACTGAAAAAGGTTGGAGACCATATCTAAAGTCTTGATAGCAATCGCCTGTTTAATACTTGAGCTTCTTTTTGAACACATGAAGGGTTAGCTGAGGGATTGCCTTTTTCCAACAGTCTCTACCCATCTACTGTGTTTCCCCGAAAATATGACATGTCCTGAAAATAAGGCCATGCCAGATTTTTGGGGTGGGCAAAAATATAAGTCCTCCCCTGAAAATAAGCACCTTGAAGAATCCACCCATCCAGCTAGTCAGAGCGCCACTCTCCAACCTAGCGGTATTCCAAAGGTGCCAAGCTGCAGGAGCTGGGGGGGGGGGCAGCCACTCATGCGGCTTCACACCTTCAGGATATCGCTAGGTGAATGAGTGGCACTCTGCCCGGCTGGAGAGGGGGGTTGCCAGGTGACTGCTCGTGAGCATGGTCGCAGCAGCGCAACACAGCAGCCATGAGGTGACCATGCTCACAAACAGTCGCCTGGCAACCTCATGGCTGCTGTGTTGCGCTGCTGCAACAGCGCAACGCAGCCATTCTCCTCTGAAGCTGTGCCTGTGTCCATCCGTCCCCGCGCCAAGCTCTTCAGGAGCCCGCTTGCAAGAGAGCAGCCACCCAGCAACCCCAAAACAATAAACACACACACACACACACACACACACACACACACACACACAAGA